ATATGTGTAATGGCAAATGCCATATGTGATTTTCTTACCTGGAATTCTGCCTTTTTAACAGACTTTTTGAGTCCTAGCTATTGTCTGCAGTTCTGGGGTTAATATGAATCTAATATGATTGTCATCGGTCTAAATTAGATTTCAAATGATTAACTGTGTATGTAATGAAGATCATAGTGTGGGTTGAATCCATTTTCAAAACCACTGTCTTTGAACTGATTTAAATGCAGAAACTGGGCTTATTCATCGGAACATCGTAGAAATTGACTTGACTTGCTTGGCCTGAGCAATGACTTGACTTGACTTGCTTGACCTGAGCAATGACTTGACTTGCTTGACTCTCACCACAGTGACTTGGGACTTGCTTGATACTTGTAGGTCAAGACTTGAGACTTGCTCATGACTTTCACATGTAGGACTTACTCCCACCTCTGGTAATTCGTGACAAAATTCAAACGGGATCGAAAGATACGTTTTCTCTCCCCATTGACTTCAATACATTTTCCGAAATAAGGTCCCATGGGTCGGAAGTAGATGGGCGGGATTTCGCCTCTCTATACAAAAAAATCTCACATTCTCATTAGTCCATTTGTTATAACAGTTCCTCTTACTAAGTCAGTTAGTATTTTATATTATGAGTGTTGAGAACAAATATATTCTACATGGAAATCTACCTTTTTCTTTAAATAAATGTTGATTTTTGGGAAATGTTTGGATCACACCAATTGGTAACCATCCTAATTGGCCACCACTTCATTGTTATTCTATAATTCATATAATATTAGCGTTGCCTGATCTTTACATGAAGCTTTGCACAAATACCAGCTTTAAATACTATTGAAAGATAGTAAAAAAAATTAAATTAAAAAAAAGAAGCCACGAAATATGAGTAAAGAAGACAGTAGTGTGGTACCTGAGACGCTGTCGACCACTGTGAACTCTAGTGCTTCCTGCTTGATCGGAGACGGAGAACCTGCCTGCTGGGGACAGAGTGGAAGAGGAGACAGAGAAAGATTAAAAATACACCTTTAGAACTGTGTTAGCACATAGAAAGCAAAAACATGTAGTTAAAACCTTGAAAGTTCATTTTTACAAGCCCGTTGGAAGATAGTATCCTTTACAGAATAACTTCTGCAAAGTGCAGGGCTGGAGTAATTGAACGTTAGTCAGCTTATGCTCAAGTATTCAGCTGTAACAATATAAACAGCTTATTCCCGCTAACACCATGAAGCATTTCAGGCATTTAAACACAGAAACTGAACTGACCAGAATATGCTGAAGAAACTTGTCAAATATTAAATAAGCACTGTTCTGTAAATGTTGTTAAATGTTGCTTGGAATTAAGCATTTCTCACTTATATTTAATATTTTTGGTCCGTTTATTATAGCAGAATGTTTAATACAGTGTATTTCTGATATTTATTAAAGATCACATGGTATTCCATATGATGTGTGTTATTGAGTTGGGACACACAGTTAGAGAGACAATGGTCGTTCTGAGTTATCAATAGATGTATTCATTTTTAAGTGAGCTGACACCGAGGGTAGAGGAAGTTCAGAGAAGGCCTTAGGTTATAAAAACAGTTAACCTTTGTTACTTAACTACTCCTAATGATGTCAAGACACGATGACGTTTAAACATATACAAGTATAGCTTTCAGAGAGAAAAACATGTGACATTTGTGTGGTAGGCTGCATGATAAAATGTGTGTGTGTTAAACATGCTTAGGGAAAATGTGTGTGTGTTCATTGCAGTGGCTATATATGCTGTATGATTGTTGCTACCGTTGGGGGGCATTTCCGCGATTGGCTGCTGTGGCAGCAGGTGATGTACTTCCCATTATTGTTTGTTTGTTGCAAAAACTAAATAATAATTACTGATCAGCTATATCTGTGTTTGTGTTTTATTGATTCCTCTCTGTTTCATTCTTTCCTGTTGTGTGAGTGCTGGATCGCCACAACACGTTCTTTGAGTTATCTTCCTTCAGTTTTGACTTCAATTCAAGCATGAAGATAGTTTACAGAAAACAGAACGTTTATTTTTCCTTTCTGTTGGAAAAAGAAAAAGTAGCCATTTCTCAAATGTTACTATTAGTTATACATAAGCCATCTTCTGGCAGATGTCTTTCACGTGGCAGTGGAGTCAGAGCTGATTTCTTTATTACATATTATTTAGCTGACGCTTTTATCAAAAGGGGCTTACATACTCTTTAATACTGTAGACATAGAGGTCAAATGTGGCTTCCAGTATCTTGCCGAAAGTCACCTTAACAGTCTTGACTGCAGGGGTAGGGATCGAACCACTGATCTCTGATTGGCTGATCAGTGCACTAAAATGCTTGCATGTTTAAAATGAAATGCGCATCTATCATATTTACTTTTACCCTCCAAAACGTCTGCCTGTCATAAAGATGTTGGAACGGGTTTGACTTTTTTCTGTTTTTTTTGCATTTGTCAAAAGCTTTTTGAGAGTAGTTTGACCCCACAGAGCCACCGTACATACAAATGTCATCATCTCTATCCATTAAAGCTACAAAACCTGTCAACCGTTTTGTCTCAATTTGCTTATTTTCACAATTGATAGCATAATAAAACATAGTGTAAGGTTTTTTCCAGATTTATACAAAATGCAAGAAGGAATCGGAGAGCAAGAGCTTTTATGGTGAGCAAAATGTGGAATATATTCAGCAGGGTTATGTCATGTCTATGAGATTTATGTGTTATTATTTTTACTCAATCTAGCAAATGTTGTGTTCATGTACCTCTTTACTCCTTTTTGGCTTCCCCTCCTTGTCGGTCTTCTTCTTTTCCACTTAAATATACAGAAAGAATAAAAACGTTCAGTAACTGAGCCACAATATAAATGGAAAGAGTATTGATTCAGTAAATATGGAATTATGAACAAGTATTTATAGGGGAAACAGATCAAATCTAGAAAAGTGATTGTGCTCACCTTTCTTCATCATCCTCTCGGAGGAGGAGAGCATCTTGTACACTCTGAATGCGTTGGTTCCCTTCTTGATACTTTTGTCCTTCACCTCCTCGATGTCCGGCAGACTGTTCATGGCGCAGCGGAAGTTTGCCTTCCACGTCTTCGGGTCAGGGCGGTCTATGCCGATCTGATATTTACCTGCACACAAACACAGAGAAGTCACCATCTTTTCCCAGGTATATCATTATTCATGTCTCATTTAATTTAGATATTATCCAGCTTGCATTCTTCTACTGTTTTGCAAAGAAATACAGAAAATCGCGGCCTGTAGCACCATCCTTGATGGAGCATGTGTGGGCTGGACCTGTATTTTACAGGAAAGGAGTGAGCAGAGGGTCGAGTTGTCGATTCTTGCTCCGTTTGCTGTGACCAGTGTTGCCAACTCCATAGTAAGGAAAGTAGCTATTGGCTGTCAAAAAAAGTCGCCAGAAGTCCCTAAATGACGTCATCGCCCAATTTGCATATCATGTTATCGCGGTAAAAAAACGTTCCACCCCCTTCAAGGATCAAAACTTGAAACCAAGACTAAATATGGCTAGTGAGAATAATATCACCAACAGTCTCCAGCTGATAGCTTTCAGTACTGTAGATGTTAGCTTCCTCTCTGAAGTCAATGAGGGCCTTCATAGGTCTGTCGATACAAGGCTAATCGTTCTGACCTCAGAAAACGATCGACTCAGGCTTTCATTTCATGATGAGGGCGTAATGTGCGGAGGTGTTTCCGTTTGCTGTGTAGTATTTAATGGGTTGTTAACATTTAAATTGAATTCAGTGTGTCCTCGCTGCTTGTTCCGACACACATGAAGAATCATTATCCTTAATAGATCATATACGTGAAGCGATTAGTTGAATAATCGCATTAATTTTCGAATAGAACAATCTTTAGTCGAGGGCAGCCCTAACCTGAGGAAACAGTTCTTTAGTAAATCATCTCACAAGATAAATATGTATTTATTGTATTTTTCAACACGGGGCCTAGCCCCAGAGCATGGGCCGCCAGCTCTACCAACTGAGCTACACGGTGGGCACGTTTTTCTGTTGCTTATTTTATTGTATGCAGTCTTTTATCTTTATATTTGCCATGTCATTTGTTTGTTTTGTTAATGACGGAGATTTTAGGGCTGCACAATTGATACAAATGTGTATCCCAGTCGCATAGTGGCGCCATATCCCAAACACCAAGCGCAATATTTGTAAAGGTCAAATATGTCAAACCACCCGGGTGGTATAGAGAGGCGAAGTCCCTCCCTTTCCGGGGGACCTCCATGGGACCTTATTTTGGAAAAAGTATGTATTGAAGTCAATGGAGAGAGAAAGATTATCTTTCGATTCCGTTTGAATTGTGCCACGAATTACACATGATGTTTCTTCAATTTAAAAGATAATTTTGCAAGTCTAACAAATAAAACTGTGAAGTAACACTTTGTTTGTGTGAAACCGCTCAATGAACTACATCTCCCATCTCGCACCAACACTGCCGTCACATTTCACTTCTTTCTTTCAGAATGAAGTGAAAAGTATTAAAAGAGGTGAAAATCACTGCAAGTCTGGGCACGTTGAGAGCTGTACACACACAAGGGGAGTTAGTCTGTTCATTAGAGCCAGCATGCGGGACCGGGACTCTGGGATTTGTAGTCTTTCTAGTTGCGTATTTTTCATAGTCTTATATTTCAACAGTTTTACAACAAATTGACTTTTTTGACATGGACATTATTTTTTAAGATTGACAATCATATCAGAATCAGAAACAGGTTTTTTGCCAGGTAGGTTGGGACATACTAGGAATTTGACTTGATGTCATGGTGCATACATAAAATATAAAAAACAAGAATTCTAATATAAAACAAAATCTTAAATTACAGTTAAATAGCAATAAAATAAAGCAGTAAATTACATGGAAATATAATGCTATGAATGCATTTTTGCATATAAACTATGAAATGTGAAATCAGAATATGTGCAGAAAGGAGTATGACATTGTGTGCATTAATACAATGTGTGTAATTCGTGTCACAATTCACAACGGTGGTCGAAACATAGCCTGACAAGGACCTCGACGCCGGATAAGATCCGATGAGACGTGAAGAGAGGGGCAGTCTCATCGCCAAAAGACGGAATAGACATCAAAGATAACTAGAACGAAGTACATTATACACTGATCATCCTCTGATGTTGCCGACTCTCACGGCGTTCTGGTCTCTACTTCATGAGACACGTGATCTGTGATCTCGGATATTGACCGCAGAATTAAAAGGGATTCACAGGCTTTAGACAGAGACGCTGCGCTCTAGCCGGCTTCGTGGGATTTTCTCTGTCGCCGTAGCTCGTAGGCAATTGCGGATTTCAAACGACTATCTAATAGCTAACGTGTAGCTCAAGGAACAGGAGATATCTGATATGTGGATATTATCTTATATTATTGGAGCACTGCCATTTGAACATACTTGAATTGTTCTCTTTTTTTTCTAACGGTGAGTCTGTGGCAGCTGATCGTTTTACAAGATCCTGTCGCTTGTGTTTGTTTGGTAAGCAGGTCCAGGTCAGTGTTGTCGTGAATAGAAGTTACAGTCATATCTACCTTCATTGGAGAATACTGTGTTGCTACATGTTGGTTACATGTATTTTCATGTTGGTTGAAGTAGGTCTGTTTCTTGGATGCCAGGACAGCTTAATACTATCTGCTGCAGACTGGTTGATCAAAGAGCAACCATTGATCGTCTGCAAAATTGATGATGTTGGCGGAACATTTCGTCTGAGTTTTTATTCTAAACCACAGGTGACTTCTTAGTATCATCGTTTCGTGGCACTACTTCACAGATACACTGATTAGGTTTCCTCACATTCACTCATCTCGATCACCTTGTAGCGTACCATGTTTAATCATTCAGTGCACTTGGATTGGAGCGATTCTGAAAATTTGGTTTTGATATGCAGTTTGGGTATAGGGCTGATTTATGGACCTGTCAAAAGCTCCAAACCTGTTTTCAAAGTTTGTATCCACACGGAGCATCCTATCTGGAATGTCTTATTATTTCTGTATATGTTACAGCCCATGTTGCATACTTGTTTATGACACCGGCTTTTGGTACAAAGTAGTCCTATCGTGAGCTATACAAGCCTATCATACATCGAATATAGAAAATAGCCATACGCTCATATTCGTTGTGGACATCCGGGTTACCCCGCATGATCATTGGTTAGTCTGTAAACTAATGATCATCCTGAGGGCTACGAAAAGGGAGGAGAACTAGAGGGCAGGGAAGAGAAAAGTGCCTGTGTAAGGAGATCTCACGCCATTGTGGGTGTATTGAGTAGGTGGGCTCTGCTTGGAGTGGGGGTGGGCAGGATCACTGAGGTCCCGGCAGCCGTATAAAGTGAATGGATAGCTGCCCCCATCACCCCCAGTCAATCCTTACGCACACAAAAGCACGGATTGAAAGGAACGTGATTTGCATCACCTCTCTTAAATGGGGGGAGGGGCGGTGTTTTGGGCTGTCTTGTCCTTTAGTCTAGGNCTATAATTCAGTGTTTTTTTAGTTAAATAATTGTCTGACTATTTGGTGATGGCGGACAGCCACCTGGTAGTAGTTTTCCCCCAAAATAAAATTTGACAAGTTGTCAAATTTTATTTTGGGGGAAAACTACTACCAGGTGGCTGTCCGCCATCACCAAATAGTCAGACAATTATTTAACTAAAAAAACACTGAATTATAGTCCTGTAAACTTAGATTTAGTTTAGACGGAAATTGTACTTTTGGTGATTGGAACATAGGACTCAATCACTTTTCTCCCCGTTTGGGGACGAGGAAATGCCTGGAATAAAATCCGCTCTGACTCTGTTCGTGGGGCACTATATTTATGGCCTTTTTTTCCAACAGCGAGAAAATCTCCTTCCTAAAATACGGGCCGACTCTCCCCAGGCTTGTGAATGCACAATGCCCGAGAAGTGAGGGGGGGTGACAGCGAATTGGAGTCTGTAGCCCCGTGATATCGTCCTCAACACCCAAGCTGAGCTTGTGAGCGCTTTCCACCTCTCGCTCATGAGAGTGAGAGGAGAAGTAGCCTCTGCCCTGCTGTCGGCTCTCTGTGCCTTTATTAGTTNACTCAAAAGTTTACAGTAACTTCTGATAATAACACAGGGGAAATAAACGAGGCATCTCTGTTCCTCTCTCTCTCTCTCTCTCTCTCTCTCTCTCTCTCACTCTCTCTCTCTCTCTCCTGACAGCCCGTCAGTATCAGGGTTAGTCAAAATGAATCCCTTTGAGGTTCTAGTGTTCATTTACCGTTTTGTCATTTACCAAGTCTAACGTGCTTAAACTTAACGTTAGCTTTCTAGCTAACACAACACATTCACGTACCTTTCTCTGTGGTTTTTTTTGTAGTGACGAATGAAGTTGGATGTTGTGGTGGTTCTGTCACTGATCTTTATGCTGCAGACCCTGCATACCGCTGTTCTCTTCTTATTAGCATCATCGACAAAATAATCCTTGAATCCAAACTTAATTATTTTTGGAGTAAAGCTAGCCGCTGCCATGTTAGCTGACACTCCTGCCGTCTAGTGGGTTGCCAGGTTTGCGCGCATGGCGTTATAATCACGTTTTTCGAAAAAACTAAACGTAATATTTCACTACAAAAACAAACGCAAATATTTAATTTTAAACAGTCAAGTCCTTTCAAGTCATCTGTCTCAAGCTTCAGTCAAGTCTCAAGTCATGAATACCAAGTCCAAGTCAAGTCTTTTATCAATGTTAGTCAAGCAAGTCTCAAGTAAAAAAATATGCGACTCGAGTCAAGTCATGTGACTCGAGTCAAGTCATGTGACTCGAGTCCCCACCTCTGCGAATTACACATATGATGTTTGTCAATCTTAAAAAATAATTTCCATGTCAAAGAATCACAGTTTGCCGTAAAACTGTTGAAATATAAGACTGTGAAAAATACGCAACTAGAAAGACTACAAATCCCATAATCCCGGTCCCGCATGCTGGCTCTTACGGAACCGACTAACTCGTAGTTTGTGTGTGTACAGCTCTCAACATGCCCAGACTTGTAGTGGTTTTCACCTTTTTAATGCTTTCTGCCTCATTCTGAAAGAAAGAAGTGAAATGTGCCAACGTGACGGCCGTCTTGGTGTGTGGTGCGAGATGGGAGATGTAGTTCATTGAGCGGTTTCACACAAAAAAAAGTGTTACTTCACAGTTTTACGGCACATTAAAAAAAAAATTGACTTGCAAAATTATCTTTTAAATTGACAAACATCATATGTGTAATTCGTGGCACAATTCAAACGGAATCGAAAGATAATCTTTCTCTACCCATTGACTTCAATACATAATTGTTCCGAAATAAGGTCCCATGGAGGTCCACCGGAAAGGGAGAGACTTCGCCTCTCTATAAATGGCTGCATTGTTGGCATCTACATAAACAATTTTGTTTTGAAAAATGCAATAACAAACCTACACTTAACACCAACAAAACCAAAGAACATTAACAGGCATTGACATAAAAAAGAAGCAGCAGGGTCAGTCACAACTTTGGAAATGAACCAAATGTACCTACTTTTTGTTACCCTCCTAGTTATAACACTTAACCAGTCTTCTGTCATTTATAGTGCTATTCAAAGAGTACCTCTTAGCAAGTGATGATCTTTCCAATGGCAAAATGGATCCAAAATCTATTTTCAAACCATGCTAAAATGTAATCATTTCAAAAATTCAGTGGGATCTTTCTTCAATCCTTATTGGTTGGTGTTTTCTCTGCTGTTCCGCTTGCCTCACAGAATGGTTACACATTCAAAAAGAAACCTAGCAGCAATCTAACAGCATCATGTATTACATTAATTTACATAACACAAAATCTATTATTTCAGGGTCGAGACTGGTCATAAAATATGACAACAGACATTGAAAGCTTAATTTAAAAACCACAATAGAAGCTTCAAAAGTAAAGAAAAAAGACTTTCAGTCGATCTGTTGATTATCTAGCTCAGTAACTATCTCCTGCCAAAGAACATACAGTAACTACTGACTGCTTTCGTATACTAGTTAGAAGAATTTAAGAATTATTATCATGAAGAAGATACATTTGCTATGGAACAAAGGGACACTATATTTATCGTTTTTCCCTTTTTTGCATTATTATTGCTTGTAATTAACAGTTAACAGTACTCTTTCCCTTTTTTTAAGGAACTTTTTCTATCAACATAAATAAAAAATGGAAAAGATAACTTTTTCAAGTAACTGCAATACATTTAAATGAGATCAAAGCAGTTTTATGACTTCATGAATATGTATTAACTACACTTTGATTTTCAAGGCATACGAATATCTCTTTATCTCGCATCATTGGGGAGATAACCACATTTTCCACACACTTGAGTCATTTTAATCAATAATTTATTTACAGCACTACAGTGGTTTCAGCCTTTCCGTCCAATCACACCCAGCGACAGCTCGGTAGGAGACCATGTGATCACCAGCGAGCAGCTACCGTTCGTCTGTCAGACCATCGAGGTGACCACTGAGGACGAGGAGCAGACCGTAAGCTCCTCCCACTCGTACCCGCTGCAAATCTCTCCTGTGTCCTCATGCTGCGGTGAGACCACACACACACACACACACACACACACACACACACACACACACACACACACACACACACACACACACACACAAAGACTATTATCACTATTTACCACATTGTACACTGTATGCAAGAAACAGGGACACTCTGCACATCACGCATGCATACACACACACTGAGACAGAGACAGATGTATTGGCAGTTGCCTATTTGAATGATCTATTTACACAGTACACTACTATCTAGTAGGTTTCTAATATTTTGTCTTTCTCATTTTCATAAAATGGGTAACTTCAAACTACAACATTAATAAAAACATATTAACACCTTATATTAGTTAAATCAACACCTCTAAAGGTGTCAATCAAAATCAAACATTAACATCGTTTTTAAAGGTAGAATTTATGACAGAGCTGTTGTATTGGACTATTATTGATTTTACTGCCACTAAGGACTCAATGAAAGCACTATTAAAAGATACAAATGAGTGGCATTGTGAAGTAGCATGGGATCATTTACCAGGAGCCGAATTATTTGCAGAGGTCTTGTTTTTTCTGATTCATTCTGGTAAAATAAAGCGGTTTCACATTAACACAAAATAAAACGGTTTCACATTAAAAATCGGTTTCTCTAATTAGCTTGTGCTAATGTTTGCTCAGCTTTTTTCTTTGAAGAAAGATCCAGACGTCCTAAAATCATCTGGTACAAATATAAAGTTAAAGTTCAAAAGTGTATCGTAAAACAGTTGATTAAACTGTATAAAAAGTTGATTTATGGCAGACAACCATGCACTAAGGGGGAATACTTTTTAATTACCGGCAACAAAATAAAATGGGCCGTTACATTAAATGAAATTACAGATTTGTCAGAAAAAGTTGTTAGAGTAAACAGATCAACAAAAAATAGACATTTTAAATGTGACAATTATCCACACATTATTATACCTTTAAATAAGATACATCCAAAGGTTAATCGAAAAGTAATAGATTTAATTTGAATGTAGACATACATGACACACACAAACTCAATTTACATACATCACACTGAACATAAAAAACTATGTTTCCAATGTAATTTAAATTTCAGTGCTGCCTCAGGAAAACAAACATTTGGGAAGTATTCAGTTGGTAAAGTGTGCATACAGTAAAGTGGACATGCAGTATGATGCTCATTTTGAGGTTCATATTAGTATTTTGTGCCTCTGCTATGACATGTCTCCATGCTTTAAAGGTCACCTATCATGCTATTTTTAGGCAATATCATAGGTCTCAGATATATAAAAAATATATAAAAAACATGTCCATGAAGTGTTTTGATCAAAAAACCAAACAGATCACCCATTCTATCCATGCCTCGTATCCCCCTATTTCACTTCCTGTTACAAAAGTGCTGATTCTGGGTATAAACAGGTCTCTCTTGAGAATTTAAAAAAAAATAAAGCTTTTTTTTTTTAACTGAAAAAAAATAATAATGAGAGGGGGCGGAGCTTATGCCGGCTCATGTGGGACCTGGCTGATACTGTCTAAAATGTTGCGGTGATGAAACGCAAGGATTATTAGATCAAGGCAAGGCACAC